CCCAAGGTCACAGGGCTGCTACACACGAACCAGGATTGGAAGAGGGCTTAGATACCTACTGTTAAAACTGCCCTTTCTTAAGGCAAGGGAATAGCAGTTCCTAGCATGCTAGGTCCCCAACCTCCTCTCTGTGCCAAGGATGGCTGGGAAATGTGGAAACCTGGCATCTTGACAGGAAGTCCATTGTCTGAGGCCCTGGTTCTTGGCCCCAGCTGCATTAGATTCATCTGGAGAGCTTGAAAGAGATACTAGTGCCCTGTCCCCAGACCAGTTGAGTTATACCAGAATCTTGGTTGGGAGTTGAGAAGATATTGCTATTTTTTTTAAATGCTCCACAGGTGATTCTCATAGCCTGGAAAAAGAACCACAATCTAAAGCATCTGCTCCTGAATTGGTAAAGGTATCTAAAACAAACAAGGACCCATTTTGCAATCCTTAGCGATTTGGTAGAGCAAGCTGGGAAGAAAGCTAGACTATATTGGATGCCTACCATGTGCCAGATCCTGAATGTCGATTTGATCCTTCAGTACACCCCTACCTGGCACTTCTGAGAAGCGTAGAGGGATGTATGAGTGGCCTTCAGGGGTCAGGATGGGGCAACTGCTCTTTTCCCTCTTATGTATCAATTCCCAGGAAATGGATGTACTGAGAGCTTGAACTGTAGATGCAGACGGATGGACTGGGGACAGTTTCCTGCTGTCTCTGAGTGTATGCACTTGATAAAGTTAGTCTCTCTGAGGCTCAGTCTGTTTTCCTGTAAAATGGAAAACGATGCTTACAGAGTGTACATTTTCAGTGGGACTATATTGCCCCCAGAGGGGTGGCATGAGGGATGGGCAAAACATTGCACTTTGTGTGTGTGTGTGTGTGTGTGTGTGTGTGTGTGTGTGTAAGGCACAGAGGCACATACTGTAAGTAAACAGATATGCAGTATATTGGGGCCATTAAAAGTTCATGACAGTGGTGGCAATTAGGCAAACATTTCTAAAATTCTGAGGGGGGTACATAGTGAAAAAAAAGTGGAAAATACTGCTTATTGGTTAGAATTGCTGGGAGACTAAAAGAAGAGACTGAATATAGAGTCCTTGGCACAGAGCCTGGCGCTCAGATGCCACTCAATAAATGGTAGATGTTGTTACTGTCATTTGTCAAAACATTCATTGAACGTGTGCACACTGATCCTAGCTTTGGGACTATGTAGAGCATCACTGGGATGATGAAGAAAGATAAGGCACCACCTGTGACTTCACCAATGAGCTAAGTCAAAGCCAAACACAGGAGACCTAGTGCTCTCATAAAGGGAAGCACACGGGTCTGGGGAACTAAGGGGACAGCATGGACATTCATTTCCTACCTGTCTCCGGTGCTGGGCTCAACCAAGGCAAGAGGCAACTAGGGACCTTCTTTCTCACTTCCTGCCCTTGCCTGGAGCAGCTCCTGCTCCCAGCATGAAAGTAGTACCACCAGTCCACCACCACTAGAGAATCACTTTGCCCCTGGAAAGCAGTTGGATTAAATGTAATCATTATTGATGGCCCCCTGTATGGAAAAGCATTCTGTTCATTGGTGGAAATAGAGTGATGAATAAAAAAATAAGATTCAGTTTCTGCTCTTGGTTTTGATGAGGAAAAGAGATATATAAAGTGGACATATTGATATAACATGATATAAAAGATCTTGTGTGCAGGAAAGTCTGGGAACACAAAGAGGGTATTTGGACAAGCTGCCTGAGCTGACTTTTGTAGAATGAGTAAGAGTTAACATGTTAAAGAAGGCAGGAAGTAACTTTTGCTCAGAGCCATCAGTATGAGCAAAGGGTTGGGAGAATACAGGTGCACGCTGGCACAGGTGTGGGTGATGAGTGAGACACAGCGTGAAGGCAGAGGCCAGGGGAGAGGCAGCTTAGCCATGGAGGACCTTGAGTGCTAGTATCATTTGGAATGGGGAGCTGTAGTTGTGTGAGACTCAGGTAGAGGCAGGTTGGTTCTATAGTGTGATAGGACGGTCCAAAGCTTTCTTCAAGGAATAAATCTTTGTGTGGCCTTCCAGACCCCACATTTCCAGCTTATCTCCACTCTTTCTTCCTCACTCTCTCCCTTGCTGTCTCTGAGCATCTCACTGGTTTATTTACAATTCCCTGAATGCCGCTGGACTTTTGCACATGTTGTGGTTCTTTCTGCCTGAAATAGGTCCCCTATTACTTATAAGGTATTGAATTCATGTCTGTTTCTCTGATTACACTGAAACTCAGGGACTGTGCCCATCTTTGCTCAACATTATAGCCCAAGCATCTAGCATAATATAGGTTCCTAGAAAATGTTTGTGGAAGGAAGTGTTGGAGGTGGGAAGGAAGAAAGAAAAGGAAAAACGTAAGGGAAGAGAAGGGAAGGAGGGAACAGAAAAACAGAACTAGACCCCGATAAACTTCTGTATGCCTTCCCTCACCCCCAGCCTTCCCCAGAGGAGTCTGTCTTCTTGGGTCCTGCCCAGGGACCAGGACCAGAACCAGCCAGCATCCTGGCATTCTAGCAGGCCCTGTCATTTGATCAATGTGCCTCCTGTGGATGAATGCTAGTTTATAATAACAATGAATGCAACTTTCATGTGTCTCCTTCATAGTTCACCTCCAAAAACTGAAAGCAGGTTGGCCCAATTAATCTTGGCTACCAAGACAGATGGTCAGAAGCAGTGAGCAAATGTCTGAGAACTACAGACTCAAAAAGTCTACCTGTGTGTCTGTACAAAGATGTCCCTAAATCTGCCTCGGCAGCCAGAAAATGTGCTGGAGCCCTGATGCAGAGGGTCCTCGACAGCAGACCGTGCAGCATGCTTCAGGGCTGGGCAGGAACACAGGAGCAGGATTGGACAGGATGCCCACATCCTTATCTTCAAGTTATGATGGGATTTTTAAAATTGATTTACATAATCTCTATAGCCCACATGGGGCTCGAACTCATGATCCCTGAGATCAAGGGTCCTATGCTCTTCCAACTGAGCCAGCCAGGTGCCTCAGGTTCTGATGGGATTTTAGGAGGGCTGTATTTTAAAGTTTATTTGTTGGGGTGCCTGGGTGGCTCAGTCAGTTAAGCATCTGCCTTCAGCTCAGGTCATGATCTCATGGTTTGTGAGTTTGAGCCCCCAATGGGCTCTGTGCTATGTGCAGAGCCTGCTTCAGATCCTCTGTCCCTCCCACTGCTTGCTCTCTCTCTCTCTCTCTCTCTCTCTCTCAAAAATAAATAACTTAAAAAAAATAAATGAAGTTTATTTATTTATTTGCCAGTGCAGAGCGTGATGTGGGCCTTGAACCCAGGAACTGTGAGATCATGACCTGAACCAAAATCAAGAGTCAGTTGCTGAACCAACTGAGCCACCCAGGTGCCCCAGGAGGGCTGTATTCTATATGAGGCTTTGTCTTTATTGAAACATATAGTTGTGCAAGAAAAATGGACCAGGGCTCAAATCTTGGTTTTGTCATTCACAAACTGTATGTGGGAGGCACCTCCTTTGCCCTCTCTGAGCCTCAGTTACCTCATCTATAAACTGGGGTCAAAAAAGCACCTCATTCATTGTGCAGATTAAATAAGATAATGTATATAAAATGCCTAACACTTAGCCTTGCGTGTAGAAAGTGTTCAGTTCACATTAGCCATTATCATTATCAGCTAATGTGGCTATTATCTCCATAAGAATTATATCCCAGAACAGAATGATCAGCTTAGTTCATCAAATATTTATATGGCTTCAACAGTGTGCTCAAACCAAGGTAGGTGTTGTCACCAAACACACACAAGAAAGTTCCTAGCAGCAATATGTTGAGAGCCCCAAACTGGAAGTAGCCTGATACCCATCAAGCAGAATAGAGGCGCCTGGGTGGCTCAGTTGGTTAAGCATCTGACTCTTCATTTCAGCTCAGGTCATGGTCTCATAGTTTGTGGCATTGAGCCCCACATTGGGCTCTGCACTGACGTGCAGAGCCTGCTTGGGATGCTCTCTCTTCCTCTGCCCCCCTTTCTCCCTGCCTCAAAATAAGTAAATAAACATTTAAAAGAGTAAAATAGATAAATTCATTATAGCCACATACTGGAACACTACACTGTGGTTTAGATTAACTGTTGTGACTCGCAGCCACATGGATGCATCCCACAGCCATGATACTGGGTGGAAGAATCCAAATACAAAAGAACACACACTGGATGCTCCCGTTTGTATAAGTACAAATGCAGGAAGAACAGATCTATGGTATCAGAAGTCAGCATAGGGCAGCCTCCAAAGAGGAGGGTGGGGATTGTGCTCAGGAGGGAGGGGAAGGGCTAGTATTTTGTATCTGGGCCTTGGCACTCAGGACATGGGCACACCCATGTTATGGAAATACATCAAGTTGTACATTCTAATTTAAGTGCTTTTCTGTATCTGTGTTATGCTTCAGTGAAAGGTTTGCTAAACAAACTAGGCTGCTCAGCAGAGAGCTAAGAAAACAAAAGTGGGGTGAGGAAAGAAAACAAGGAGTACAATTGTGTGCTTGCCTGTAAGAACAGCTACTTTTCCTGATCCTTCCCATACATGACTTAGCCACTCAACTATAGGAATTTTGTTCACATCTATCCTGCCACTGAATTAATCTGGGCCAGGCACCACTGGTACAACACTAGACTAACTGGTTTTCTTGGCCTACCTTCTTTTCTCCAAACCACTTTCTAGAACCCAGAGCCACTAGTATCTTGAAAGATCCTGTGCATCTCTGCGTCCTCAGTCCTTAGCACCTGCCTGGAACATGAAAGGTCATCAAGGATGGATCTAGAAAGAATAAAGTCCTCCAGCACAATCAGAGCCAGAGGGCTACAAGGGAGTGCCGTGGGATAAGGGGGAGCATTTGTACATCTGGGTGGGGAGCAGTAATCCACATTTAATGGTCAGAGATATCTCCGGACTAAGCTGCCCGACCTACTCATATTCTTTCTGTTTTTGTTCATCTTTTTTTTTATTTTGTTTTGTTTCCCCAGTGACCTTCAATGACTGCAAGGGAAATAACAAGCTACACTATGAGGTCTCAAGCCCATACTTCAAGGTGAACCATGACGGCAGCTTGGTTGCTCTGAAAAACATAAGTGCAGTGGGCAAGACTCTGTTCGTCCACGCCCGGACTCCCCATGCAGAAGACATGGCAGAACTCGTGATTGTCGGAGGGAAAGACATCCAGGGCTCCTTGCAGGTAACATAGCTGTTTGGGACAAATGGGGTCCACAGAGGAACAATGGGGTCTTTATGTCTTATTGTGGAAGATAGTTCTTTGGTTTATTACTGGCCAAGACGTTTCTGTCATTTGCAATGACAACTCAAAAAATTATGGGAGGGGATATGTGAGAATTTACTGGCTAATGTGACAGATATTTCGGGGATGACTCTGCCTTCAGGCAAGGTTATGTACCTATGCCCGAATAGGACATCAGCTTGATCCTTCCCCCCTTTTGTGGTTCTATTTTCCTTCTGCTGGCTTTGCTGTAGATGGTCGCATCCCTCTATGTCTTCCAGTGTAGAGGTCTCAGCAACTCTACTGAGTTCTACTCATTTTCCCAGCCTAAAGTCACCTGAGAGAGCACCTGTTCCTGATAAAGCCAACAAATTCTTGAAATCAAATCTCGCTGGTTCTCATTGGAACGCATGTCCACCCTTGAACCAATCACTGTGTCCATTGGGTAGTGATGCTCTAGTTAGCTAAGTCTGAGTCACACATCTTATCCTTTTTTTTTTTTTTTAATGTTTATTCATATTTTGAGAGACAGAGCATGAGTGGGGGAGGGGCAGAGAGAGACAGGGAGACACAGAATCCGAAGAAGGCTCCAGGCTCTGAACTGACAACACAGAGCCCCACGTGGGGCTCGAACTCACAGACTGTGAGATCATGACCTGAGCTGAAGTTGGACCCTTAACCGACTGAGCCCGCCCAGGGGCCCCAGAGTCACACATCTTATCTTGAAGCCAGGTGGAGTCAGCCCCACCTAAGACCTGTGAGCCCAGAGCGAAAGATAGGTAGTTACTCAAAGTAAATTAGCATCCTGTTATTTGAGGGTGGGGAATGGTGGTTGTGCAGGCAAGATCACAGTGGCCCACTAGGGTTGTATAGCAAGGCAGCCATTCATTTTGGCACTGCTCCTTTGCCATGCCCTGGTGCCCACTTCAGACACACATGGGTGCAGATCCCTACACCTGCATGCATGCTTCCACACTTTAAGAGTGCTACAAACTGGGGGCACCTGGGTGGTTCAGTCGGTTGAGCATCTGGCTCTTGATTGCTGCTCAGGTCATGGTCTCACAATTTGTGGGATCCAGCCCCACACAGGGCTTTGTGCTGACAGCGAGGAGCCTGCTTGGGATTCTCGCTCCCCCTCTCTCTTTGCTCCTCCCCTCCCCTCTCCCAAAATAAACAAATAAACATTAAAAAATTTAAAAAAGAGTGCTACAAACTGCCCTTAGGCTTCCTGAGACTTTTCACTACAAATGGACTCAACTACTCCACTTTCCTCAAGAGCTTAAAGACTCTGTGGTTTCTTGGTAGAAAGACAAGGCACACAGCAAGACAAGGCACATGCTGTGTCCCCAGCGTGGTGTGGCCAGAGTTTTCTCCTGCTTGACAGTCTGGTGTTAACCCAGTGTTTCCAAGTCTTGATTTTCTCTGCCTTTCCCCATCTGTCACATTCCCCATAACTTTGCTGAATCTGCTAATTCTCTTCCGTGGTGGAGGGCGGTGGGTGGAGTGAACACCGATTCTACGACTGGGGAGCAGAGACCACGTAACTGGCAATGTGAGTGTTGCTTTCCTGCCAATGCTGTCTGTGTGATCTTGAAAGAATCATAAAACTTCTTTATCTGCAGACTGGAGAGGTAAAACAGTCTGGGGTGGCAAATAAGTGGCATGTGCTTTGGCCCATTCTGTCACCATCCTCCGGGCAGACATTGCTAATTATCCCTGGCTTGACCTCAGTATCTTCCCCAATGCAGTGCTTCTGGAAGCTACTATCCGTTGATCATTTAGAGATGTTTCTAGGGATGGAATATATTTGCCATCCCTGGACCGGACAAAGTCCATAATTCCCCTTCATATCTGTGAGTCTGTGCGTTAAGGGTAGATAGCAAGCTAGAAATTAATCCACAGTGTGCCACTGATATTTTCAAAGAAAATAGGATATTGATGAATACATCCAGTGTGGGAACCCACTGGCACTACGAAAGCAAGCTTGTCTCTCCCTTAGCCATGGTCATTTTCACAGCATCTCACTAACTCATGATATAAATGACTTGGCACATATCTAAAGTAACAAAATTGCGGGATATACAGCACAAAGTGCTTCTTAGGAACAAGTAAATGGCACAGGGATTCACGTAAGGGGGTTTGCATGTGGGATGGGATGTGTTCAGACGGACATTGTTCATCATGGTTAGTGGCTCATCTCTGCATCCAGAAAAGACAATGTCATACTAGTTTCAAGGGGAGCAGCAAGAATTCTAGGCACTTCTTGGGACAGATTCCACCTTGACAGGCTGGGGAGGCCTGGGGGTCAATGTGAAGAGACTCAGCCTTAAAGAACTGGTCTCTTGAGTCCCAGAGAGACCCTCCTCCTGGAGGCCAAGCCCCTTCAGAGCCATTTCTCATTTGCTACTGCCTGTGCACATTGTCAACAAAACCTGACTGTGATTGCCTGTTTCTTATAAAGCATGGTGGAGGTTGCCGTGCTGTTCAGTTTGCCAGACTCCAGCAGAACGGGCATTCATCTCCTGCCTCCAATAATTTTACAAAGTTAGAAAATGGGCCTGTGAAACACCCCAGATGTGTCTGTAATAAAAAGCCCAAAACAATTAAAAAAGAAAAAGGATAGGAAAACAAAATAGCTAGCTAGAGAATTCCTCCAAGGAGAGCGCCATCCTTAGAGATGTCTATTTAGTATCTTTGAAGCCCTACGACATGCTGCCAAGCATCCAGCTTCTAGAGAAGGGAAGCAATGGGACCCAAGTCAGCTCGGCTCGTGGGTGGGAAGGGAATATGAATGAGTATGTTGAAAAAGAACCGAGCCGGTAACAGTGCTGACTGCCTCCTTGTGCTTTTAGAAAACAGAGAGGGCAGAGGAAGCTGGAAGACAGCTTGCTTGTACATGGCCCCACTGTGTGCCAGGTGCCACTCTCATGAACCACAAATGGTGATTCGTTAAATCTCCCCGCCACCTAGGGGGGCATGTGCTAGAGTCCTCATTTTACAGATGGGGGAAACTGAGACACAAAGAGTGTTTGCGTCTTAGGTATGTGCATCTCAGTGTGTGCTTTTGTCTCCACTGTTTTTAATTGTCATACCCTCCCTGTGGGGCTGCTGACTTTACCCCTTCCTACGGATGTGAGAAGTTGGCCAAGATCCCCTAGCTTGAAGCTGCCAGAAATGAGATTGTGATCTGGCCTCTCCATCCAAACATCCATTCTCTTTCCTGCCCATTCTTCAACAGAGGAGGGCATGAGTCATGGCAATACAGTAGCAATGGAAGAAACCAACAAATGGAAAGTGTGTTTTGATGGAGGAAAGAGCCAGGATTTAGTGTTTGGGTAACTCAAAGCTTTGGAGGCCCAGAGGATGGAAATGAATTCGACCAGTCAGAAAAGGGGTGGTTGGGAAAGGACTTGGTTCAGTCAGGCTTGGGTGTGTTGAGTGCTCCTAGGCACATGGTGATAGAGATGTCCAGGAGACAATAGGGAATATGGGACTAGGTCTCAGGGTAAACATTTTGGGCAAGAACAGTATACTGGTAGGGCTTTGGCTTTGGTGTTGAACTTAAGTAGGTTCAAATTTCTGCACCACCACCTGTGATTGTGTGACCCTGGGCATGCCATCCAACTCTCTAACCCTCAATATCCTTATTTTGAGACAGGGGTAAGAGTAGAGCCTGCATTACAGAATCATTCTGTTGGGCACAGCACAGAGCACCAGGGGACCTATCCCAATGATGTCATCATATTGGAACCACCAGAGAAAGGATAGGTACTGGGGGTTAAATGACCTCCCTGAGGCCAGGAGATAGAAAGCTGGGTTTACGGGCAGGAGGAGAAAGTGAAGCCAAAGAAAGAAAAAGAAGGTGTGCTCAGAGAGGGCAGTGGGGGACCCAGGGTGTCCAAAACAGATGCCATATCAAAGTGGCTGATTTCACAGCATTCTGTTTTGGAAGGCAGGACTCTCTAAAATGAATGTAAGCCCAGTGAAGCCCAGCTCAGCTGCAGTCCTGGAGCTCAGATCTTTAACAACCCCATGCGCCTCTCATATTTTTACACACTACCTGTGATACTGTTTCACCCAGAAAGCCTGTAGCCTAACTGTATGAAGTCCAGGTGTTAATAGCTTTAATTATCAACTCCCAAGCTGTCTCTACAATTTCAGCAGGCTTCCCAGAAGCTCCTATCTGTCTGGGCTCGTACCTGTAAGATCAGCTTAGACCTGAGAGGGAAGAAGAACATATTAGTCCCTTGTGTGTTGACAGGGGTGGCGGGATTCCAAAGGAAGGGACGAGGCTAACCATGCCTGCGAGAACGGTTTCTAGCCTGGGGAAGGTAACAGTAATCTCCACTCACGAAAGCATTTCTGCCGGATCGTGGCTTGCCCCACACCGAATCTGCTGCCCCTCACTGCCTGACAGTGGAGAATGGGAAGACAGCACAGTGCTTGGCTTGATTTTCTTATTTTTACCTTGGCTAGAAGGGCTCCAAAGGTTTCTGTGGGAAAGCCCTGGTTCATCCCTTATGCGTCTTGGGTAAAGATGTCTTCACCTGCCGTGGCAATGGGACTCATCAACCTCATTTTCACATCTGGCATTTAAAAAAAAAAAGCCATAGGGGCGCCTGGGTGGCGCAGTCGGTTAAGCGTCCGACTTCAGCCAGGTCACGATCTCGCGGTCCAGGAGTTCGAGCCCCGCGTCGGGCTCTGGGCTGATGGCTCAGAGCCTGGAGCCTGTTTCCGATTCTGTGTCTCCCTCTCTCTCTGCCCCTCCCCCGTTCATGCTCTGTCTCTCTCTGTCCCAAAAATAAATAAACGTTGAAAAAAAAAAAAACGTATTTTATTTTTTGTGACTTAAGAAATCGTAGCTTTGATGACTGGATGGTAGCAAGGAACACTGACATCAATTACAGAACTGGACGAAGTCAGGCTGGGAAGTAGGAACAGCAGGGAGCTTGTAGAAATTA